TCCTAGTCCCCTGAGATTCACTCATCTATACTCTTTTTTCTCCCATCTGGCCTCCCTCTTCCCTCCTTTCCCAGTCACAGTGTCCCCATGATCCCCACCCAATACCTCCTGACTCCCACCATCTTTCCTTTCCTGACTTCCCTCGATCCCCCACCCTATGGTCCCTTGAATGTCCATCCCTCCTCTCCTCTCTGCCAATTTCTCCCACTTTTTCCACTGCCGTCAGGTCACATCTGTTCTCTACTATCCCCCTTTCAGGTTGTTTCTTTTCCTTTGCCTCCATGTTTCCTTTGTCTTTACCTGGATCCTGGAGTTACATCAGAATTTATATGCTCATATATATGGGATTGGGGCTGTGATCCACAAATGAGGGAAAACATATGTCGCTTGCTTTTCTGCATTTGCTACTTCACTTAGTATAACACTCTCTAGTGCCATCCATTTACCTGAAAATTTCACCTTTATTTACTGCTTAGTAGAACTCCATTGAGTAGATATACCACATTTCATTAACCATTCATCAATTGAGGGACATTTAGGTTGTCTCTGTTTCTTAGCTATTGTGAAGAGACAAACACAGATGTACAGGTATCTCTACACTGTGATGAGTCCTTTGGATATATGCCAAGGAGTGGTATCACTGGATCATATAGTAGGCTCATTTTTAGATTTTTGAGCATTCTCCACACTGCTTTCCATAGTGGTTGAACGAGTTTGCATTCCCACCCACAGTGAATGGGCATTCCTCTTTCTCAACATCCTCTCCAGCATTTGGAGGCTTTCGTTCTCTTGATCTTAGGCAGTCTTACTGGTGTAAGATGAAATCTTAAAGTGGTTTTGATTCGTATTTTCTAATCACTAATGTTGAGCACTTTTTAAAGTGCGTCTTAGCCATTTTTATTTCTTTGCTTGAGAACTTTCTGTTTAGGTCTATCGCCCATCTTATTATTGGGTCACTTATCTTCTTATTTCTTTCTCTTTTGAGTTCTTTGTGTATTCTGTATATTAATCCTCTGTGTATCTGGTTAAGATTTTCTCCCATTCAGTGGGTTTCCTCATCCCTTCCTTAGTTATTTCTTTTGCTGTACAGAAACTTTGTAATTTAATGAGGTCCCACTTACTGATTGTTGACCTTAGTGTTTGAGCAGCTGTTGTCTGATTTAGAAAGTCCTTTCCTATGCTTATATCTTGGAAGGTTCTACCTATGTTTCTTCTAGCTGTTTCCAAGTTTCAGGTTTTATATTGAGATTTTTTGATCCATCGGGAGTTGACTTTTGTGCAGGGTGAAAGATAAGAATCAAGTTTTATTTTTCTGCAGGTGGAGATCCAGTATTCCCAGCACCATTTGTTGAAGAAGCTATCTCTCCATCACTGTGTGTTCTTAGAAATTTTGTCAAATATCAGGTGGTTGGAATTATATAAACTCATGTTTGGGTCTTCTATTGTGTTCCATTGATCTACGCTTCTATTTTTGTGCCAGTACCACGCTGATTTAATGACTATAGCTCTTTAATATATCTGAGATCTGGTATGGTGATTACCCCAGCATTTTCTTTTTGCCCAAGACTGTTTTGACCATCTGAGGTCTTTCGTGATTCTGTATGAATTTTAGGATGGTCATCTCAATATTTGCAGAAAAGGCATTTGACAAAATCCAACATACATTCACGCCAAAAGTTCTTGAAGGAGTTGGTCTGGAGGGAACATGCCTCAATTTAATTAAAGCTGTATACAACAAACCCATAATCAATATCACCTTAAATGGAGGAAAACTCAAAGATGTCTCATTAAAATTAGGAATGAGACAGGGCTGTTTGCTATCCCCAATCCTTTTCAATATAGTGCTTGAAACTCTTGCTCAAGCAATAAGACAAGAGAAGGAAATTAAAGGATTACCAACTGTAAAAGAAGAGGTCAAATTATCCCTATTTGCAAATGATACGATATTATACATACAAAATTCCAAAAACTCCACTAGAAAACTGTTAGAATTGATTAATGTTTTCAGCAAAATGGTAGGATACAAAACAAAATAAACTTAACAAAAATCAGTAGCCCTTCTTTATACCAATAACAAGTAATCAGAAAAAGCACTCAAGGAACCCCCTCCCATTCTCAATAGCCTTAAAAAAATAAAATATTTAGGAATAAACCTAAGCAAAGACATTAAAGAGCTATACAATTAAAATCTGAAAACTCTAAAGAAAGAGATAAAGGAAAACATTAGGAGTTGGAAAGACCTACCATGCTCATGGGTTGGTAGAATCAATATTGTGAAAATGACCATCTTACCAAAAGCAATTTATAGATTTAATGCAATCCCAATGAAAATACTCATGACATTCTTCACAGAGCATGAAAAAAACTATCCTAAAATTCATTTGAAATCCCAAAGGACCCCCAGATAGCCAAAACAATCTTGGACAAAAACAACAATGCTGGGGGGAATCACCATACCAGATCTCAGATTATATTACAGAGCCATAGTCTTGTTTGTGTCCTAAAATGTTGTCAATTTTGGAGAAAGTTCCATGGGCTGCTTAGAAAAATGTGTATTTTTTAGTGTATGTGTAGAATGCTCAGTAGATGTGGGCTAGGTCCATTTCATTTCTGATGTCATTTAGGTTCAGTCTTTCTCTGTTCTGTTTTCGTCCAGATAACCCATCTATTCATGATAGTGGAGTATTGAAGTAATGCACTATCACTGTGCTATAGCTAATCTGTGGTTCTAGATCTAATAGTATTCATTAGGAAATTGGTTGTCCTTGTGTTTGGTGCATATATGTTTAGTATATGATATTCTTTTGGAGGATTTTTCTGTTAATGAGTGTGAAATTGTTCTCCATATTGCTTCTTACTAATTTTGGTTTGAAGTCTACTTTGTAAGAATTTAGTATAGCTATATCTGTGTTTTTCTTAGTTACATTTTCTTGGAGTAGATTTTTCTAACCTTACATCCTAAGGTGATATCTCTCACAGATCCTAGAGTGTGTCTTTTGGAGGCAGAAAAAGATAGATCCCATTTTTTAAACCCGATAGGTTTTATTTCTTTATGTTAGAATTAAGAATGTTGACATTAAGAGAGAATATTGAACAATGGGTATTTATTCCTGTCTTTTTTTGTATTTCATTTTTAAAGACTATTCTTAATTACATTTTCTCAAATTATTTATTTATTCCTTGTGCCTTCTTGAGTGCATTTGTCCTTCTCTTCAGACTTAATTATTCTTAATTATTTTATTCTTTGTAGTGCTGGCTTTGGGGTTCTTAATTCCTTAAATCTGAGTTTATTATAGAGAGGTTTTCTTTCTCTTTCCATTGGCACTGCTAGTTTGGGTGGGTATAGTAATCTAGTTTGGCATTGATGGTCTTTTACAACTTATAGATCACCAGCCCAATAGCTTTTTCTTTCAAATTCTCCATTTGAAAGTCAGTGTTATTGTGCTGGACTTACCTTTACATATGACTTGTTCTTTCTTTGTTGTAGTTTTCTATGTATATTTTTCCCTACATTTAGTGTTTTGACTATGTTTTTGATCAAAACTTTTGATTTTTAATTTAAAAAAATTCCAAAAACAAAGTGGGGAAATAGATACACACCCATCTACTTCATATCAATGAAATATGTCACAGTTGTTTACATGCAACCTTTCAAATAATATCAGGGATAGCACAGTCAAGGCAGTTTCTCAGAAGGCATTCAGGCTTAATCCTCTTGTTGGGACCTGAGGGAAATAGGTCAATTATTATATTATTTTGTAAACAAAATTCATCAAAGAGGCCCCTGCCTTCTTCCTCTAGTGTCCTCAGTCACGATGGGTGGCAGAGTGGCAGTATAATCTTCATCAATGTACTGTGAGTATGAGGGACAGCCACTCCTATTACTACACTGTCCAGTCCTCATGGGTCCAATAAATAAAGTCATAGCATGCAAGGGGGCCTAGCTGGTCTGTGGGGATCCACCATGACCAGCCAGTTACATGAAATAAGAAAATCATGATTATTCTAGAGGATAGGTAGTGTGTGGTCCTGCATTGTTAACTTTCACATGCTATGATACAGTGTTTTGCAAGGCAATACAGCCACATGAATTGAGAGATTTGAACACTTTGTACACTTCAATTCTATGGATCTATTCTTTAGAACTATAAAAAAACTTTAATTTTTACCAATGATTATAAGAATGATATGTTGAAGATGCTTAATATATGCAAAAATATGTGAATGATTAGATGACTTTTAATATGAGTTGAAAATTGTGACTTCAGGAGAGCTATAATAGTGACTATGCAAGTGAGCCTGGTGATGCCATAAAATTGGTTTTAGTATATACACTGGTGTATCAGAACATAAATTTAAAGTAGAAAGTTGAAAATAAGTGGTTGATGTACAAATTACGATGAGTAGAATTAGGGCTAATACCATTATCTTTTATTCTTTTTATTATTGTTATATTGTCTCTACAGAGAAAATTCATAATGATTGTCAATCTGTTCATGTGTGTGGGTATTGGGAGATAAGAAGGATTAAATCTATGCTATAAGGCTATGACTGCTATGTTTTCCTTAATTTGAAGGAACAAGACTGTTTCTTTTAAATTTTATTTATTTTTAATTTTGAGTATGAGTGTATTGCCTGCATTTGTGTAAGTGTAGTTGTGTTGTAAAGTGACTACCAAGAACAGAAAGCATCATTGGATCCCCTGGAACTGGAGTTACAAACAGTTCTTAGCTGCCATGTGGGTCTGGGATTTGAACTAGGGTTTTCTGCAAGAACAGCAAGTGCTCTTAACCACTGAGCCATCTCTTCTGCCACAAGAATGGTTTTAATTGCAAAATAAGATGATATAAAATTAAGAACTTCCATAAGAACAATGGTTAAACAATTTATCTTCTGTAACAAAGCATTACACTGCATGGATATTACAAGCTGAAGTAATCATAATGACTAAAATCATTCCTGTGTATACTTGGGCAACTATTAACAAGACAAAAATGATTTCAACCAGTAAATTCTGTATCCAACCATAGCTTCCTTACAGCTCTTTTCATGGCCTCATTCCTCAGACTGTAGATAACAGGGTTGAGTGTTGGGGATAGTACTGTGTAAAAAAAAGGGAGCATGAGGTCTAGAGCAGTTGTTGAGTCTGAAAGTGGCTTTAGGTATGCACAGACACCTGTAAACAGAAAAAAAGAAACCACATAGAGGTGGGGCAGACAGGTGGAGAAGACCTTAGACCGACCTTCAGAAGAGGGCATTCTGAGGACTGTGGAGAATATCTGGACATAGGAGAGGGTGATGGCGATGAAGCAGGCAAATGACACAGCAGTCACGAAAGCAACCACATCAATCACTCCAAGGTAGTCATTGGAGCAGGAGAGCTTGAGCAATTGGGGGACATCACAGAAGAACTGATGAATTATTTTGGCTTTGCAGAATCTGATTGAGAATGTGGTTGCTGTGTACAAGGTTCCTGAGAAGCTTCCACTTATCCACACAGCTGTCACAGTCCACCTACAGGTTCTGGGACTCATGATGACCTCATAGTGCAGTGGGAGGCAGATGGCCACATAGCGGTCATAGGACATCACTGTGAGGATGGCTAACTCAACCCAGCTCAAATATGTGAAGAAGAAAACCTGTAGTGCACACTGCACATAGGAAATGCAGCCACTGCCATTCAGGGAATTGTGAATAGACTGGGGGACAGTTACAGACAGGGAAGAAAGGTCAAGAAGGGAAAGGTGCTTCAGGAAGTAGAACATTAGAGATTGGAGCTGTGGGTCCAGCGTTGTGATGGTGATGATGACAAAGTTCCCTGCCAAGCCCCACAGGTACATCACTAAGAAGAGCAAAGCATGTAGGATCTGCAGCTCACGGGTGTCAGAGAACCCCAGGAGGAGGAAGCCACTCACTGTGGTTACATTTCTTGTAGTCATTTTGTAAGTGGAACTTGTGGTAACTGTGAAAACATGATTTGGTAAGTGCAATATAGATATAAAGAGGTATTATTTATTCATCAATATTTATTTCAGTAATTATTGATCACATTTTTTTAGCAATCTGCTCTAATCTAATTTGGGGAACCAAAAATGAGAATGTGCTTTTCCTGTCCTCTTAGAGCTGATGGGATCCACTAGTAACCCAGTAGTTACAGATGAGTGTAGGTGTGGTCCATCACTAATCCTCTCCTGCAAAAATGCAATTTACTAATGAAAAAGTACCTCTCCATTTCCATGGTTAAAGTCTACTGCTTTGCTTTAAGTCATAAACAGGCCTTCAGTGATAGGTTGTGGATCAGTTGCTGAACCTTGATTGGTTATATACAGCTAGGACATGCAACACTGTAGCAGATGGAATAGGTCTCTTGAAGGAATCAATACCTGGGGCTCAAAATATGTGTGGTTTCTGCCTAGGAAAGGCTATACTCTCTTAGCACGCAATACTGATGGGCATTAGGGTAAGATGCTCTGCTGTTATAGAACCACTTGTCAAAATGGGTATTTTTATTGCTTTTCATATTGCCTTGCATAAGAGCCAGAAACACTGACTCTTGTGCATCGGGGAACACTCACATGCCTTTCTTAATTTAGATGTCCAATTGCATTTTATCGAGGCTTTTCAGGATCCAGCAACTTCTATTTGTATCCTCTTCTTATTTAACTGCTGTTTATCACACAGGCCTTCAATTGAAGCCATCAGATAGTTATTAGCAAGTACTAGGAGCAAAAACAATTGCAAAGGGAAAATGATTTCTTGAGGTGGTTTCACATTTGGAGAAACAGAGACGATATTCAGTGTAACACCTGTAAGAGTACAAATTTAAAGTGGTTTATATTTATAATAAGTGGTATCTTATGCTGTACATCAGGATCTTTTGTTTTGATGGTTCATAGTTTGAAAACACCCCACCATTGTCCCCTCACCAACATCCATGTTATTTTTGAGGACTTCTGAGAGGATAGCAGTGAGTCTCATGTTTCTGAATCTTTTTTTTCCTTCATTCAATGGTTCTTGGCAACAACTGTCAAAATGCTCTGTCAGAATGCAGGTCCTTTAAGGCATGAGAAAATACACCTAATATTTTTTGTGACAACTTACAAATTCATGTATTTACAAAATCAATCTCAGAGAATAAACCTACTCCATGTCAATATCCATGCATTTTATATCTAACAGTGTTTTATCCCCTGGAAGCACAGAGATAGACCCCCTTTGCTCATCTCACATCTCTTTTGCTAATAATGAACTTAATATCTGACCATTCCATATCTACAGTCTGTCCCATGAGAAATTGTTGGGTTTTGACCACAATATAAATGGCTTTTAAGATCAAGAATGGTCAGAGAAAACTGTAATATCAGAATCTGTGGATGGAGCATCTTGAATTCAAACTAGTGTGGGCTATATAGCAAGACAGTTTACTGAAAGGGAAAATAGCACACTTTAAAGAAAGACATATTTTGGAATTTTAGTTGACCCAGTTGAAAACCTACTGTTTCTTGCTCTCTGTCCTGCCTTGCCCACTTTAATCCTTTAGGACATGCTCATATTTATTGATTATTTTTAAACCTCAATTTCTATAAGACACACGCACACACACACACACACACACACACACACACACACGTAAAAATCAGGGTAAATTAAAAATCTCAGTCTCATGCATGCTTCTCTTTTCCTTTTGTCAAACTCTGCTTTTATAAAAGCTGTTTTTCTTAGACATTGATAACAATGATACACAGAATTCCTGCTCACAATCGATTTTTATGTTGAATCATTTGATGTTAATATTTTAACCAGTCAAATCAAACATGTATTTACCCATACACTGAGAAGCAAGGAAGCTAAATAAACTTGAGTACTTGTATGAGAAAATAGGGTGTTTGAGTCCATCCTAAAACAGGTTTCCCTGAATCGTCACAGACAGTTTCATCATCTTCTGTATGTATGTTTAAGAATAAATGAAGGAATAGGCCACGATTATACTGAACACTCCCACTCCTATCTACCTCTGCCATTGATATCAGTGTTTGAAAATGTGTTTATTCATAGAAACTTCACACATACAAGCCTGTAAATTGCTAATTTTTCCTATTTATTCTTTGTGTATTTTTTGAGACAGGATCTTCCTGTACCCTCAGCTTGCCCCGAAAATCTCTACATAAACCAGGCTAGCCTTGATTTCACAGAGATCTGCCTACCTCTGCTGAACAAGAACTGGGATTTAAGGTGTGCACCACCATGCCCAGCACTGGTTTTCTTGAAAGGCCCATTATTACATTACTATAAACTTAATTCATGTGATTTGTAGACATGGTCATTTTTAGTAAGGCGTGCATCTTTTCTTATTAAAATTATATCCTTGTTTGTCCAACCAAGTAAGATTGTATTAGAATTTCCATAAATATTTTTTCTTTTCATCCAAAGTTGGAAAACTCACCTCAGGAGTCTTGCATGAGCAGCTCTCCACACTGGTTAGCAACTTCTGATATTTCTCACCCAGAACTGTAGGTTTTGAAAGCATGCTGTTTCCCCAGAGATCAAGTGTTTGAGCTTCTTTTTCCCACGATGGGGAATATCTTTGGTAATGTAAGGCTAAAGTTAGACAACTTAATTTTCTCAGAACCTGTTTCTCTGGGGACACAGTCTGAAATGTCCACACTGCTGTTGAGAGAGTTTTGAGCTTGGAGTTTCATTGTCCCCAGCTCAGTGGTTCCCAGCCAGTAGACCTGAGAATCACCTGGAGAGTGGTTAGAACTCAGGGCCCTGAGTCCACACTGACTTAGAGGCTATTCTGGCTTAGAGCTCTTAGGGGAAAACCAGGAAACTCTGTACCTGCCAGGTCCCTGGGCTGCTGCTTCTGGTTTGAGTACCACAGATGGACAGCACATGAGTCACTTAACTGTGCATATCTGAGAGCAAATAAAAATGTAAATGTTTGTAAGAATACTTGATCCCAGCACCCATATGGCAGCTAAAAACTGTCCATAACTCCAGTTCCAGGGGATCCAACAACCTCTTCTGTCTTCCGTGGGCATTGCACGACACGGGTGCACTTACCTACATGCAGGTAGCACACACATAAAGATAAATTAAAAATAACAAAGTATTTTTAAAAACTTTATTCTCTAGAAGACCTTTTGGGAATTTAGTAAACATGCAGGTAGCACATGCATAAAGATAAATTAAAAATAATAAAGTATTTTTAAAAACTTTATTCTCTAGAAGACCTTTTGGGAATTTAGTATAGCACATGCATAAAGATAAATTAAAAATAATAAAGTATTTTTAAAAACTTTATTCTCTAGAAGACCTTTTGGGAATTTAGTAACGGTTAAGAGGAATTTTTGCTCTTGTAGAGGACTGGGGTTCAGTTCCTGGCACCCACATAACAGGTAATATCTGTAACTCCAGGTTAATGGGATCTAACATCTCTTATGACATCTGTGGGCATTGCATGACATGGGTGCACTTATACATGCAGGCAATACACTCCTACACATTAAAAAGTAGTTCAATAGCATGTGAGCTGTAATGCCTTGAGTACTTCCTCCATCTATGCTAGAATTCTGATAGACTCAACTTTGTTCAGAACTGGTTTACAACTGATAGATTCAGCGAGGGGTAATCTTTAACTTCAGCTGTATTCCCTCTCCCATGGAGAGTTTCAATCCAGATGCCACACAGATGGCATTAGTTAAAGAAAATGGGACACACACACACACACACACACACAAATCAACAGCCATGAACCTAGATGGGTGTGGTGATGTTCATCTTTAATCTCAGTAGTCAGGATGCAGAAGGATGCATCTGTGAGTTTGAGGCCAGCCTGGTCTACATAGTGAGTTACAGGCCAGCTATTATTTATTATTAATTCTCTGAGCATTTCACACAATATGTTTTTATCATATTCACTCTGCTTCCCCACTCCTCCCAGATCAGCCAGCCCTGGAGCAGAATGTAGCCGGCATGATTGCAGAGACATGAAGACACAGTGGTTATATATTTGTAATTTCTGCTTGTATTTGAAATACACAATATTGTATATAATTGGATGTTGTGTGTCCATTTAAATATCTTACTTCTTTCTTTAACCTCAATCAGACATCTATATCTAGAATTTTGCCCATGCCATTCAGATTTTCCACTTTGGCAGAATGTAGACTTTAAAAACACATCTTTCTCGTCCTCTGACCTTCCTCGGGGCTGTTGTAATGTCTCCCTGCTTGTTTCTAATTTTATTCATGTGCATAATCATCCCATAACTTGCTTTTGGATAATTTCACTATGTTTGTCAATCTTCTTAATATTTTCAAAGAACCCACTTTTTGTTTCATTGATTGTATGTGTTACTATTTTTGTTTCTATTTCATTAGCTTCAGTCTTGATTTTAACTATTTCTTCACACCTACTGCTTTTGGATGTTGTTATTTCTTGTTGTTCAAAGGCGTTCAGGTGCATCATTGAGTTTT